TTTTTTTTTTTTTTTGAGAAAGAAAATTAATTATAAATTCAGATGCAATCAATGTTTAAATAGAGGAAAACCCAGAAGAAATGAAACTGAAAGATGATAACGTGGGGATTGTTATTTCGAAATGAAGAAAGTTTCACTTCGATGAGACTGTCCAATCGACTAAGAGTTGAATAGAGAAATTACTTAAGAAAATTATACGTACTAAGATGGTTGGATTGAAAGATGATTAGATAACATCCTCTCGACTATATCTTTTCGTCGAGAGCTCGTTCAAGATCTCGTCAACTCTAATGAACTTGAACCTAAAGGTAGATTCGCTAAAAAGGCGGTCAGAGAGTCACTTGGCCTTGCCCGCGATCGTTTCATCCATTCATGGAAATCACTTCCATCGATCCTCCCTCCGTGTCTTTGTGTCGAGAAAAAGAACCGTGTGAAATTAATTTCGACACTTCATTATCCGACGCTTGAATCATCAAAGATCGGATAATTTTTCACCTCTTGTTAAATGAAAATTTTAATAGTCACGTAGAAATTTGTTAGTGTTCTCTCGAATTGATTCTTTTTTTTTAGTTACGTTAGAAGTTTGAATGATAAACTAATGCAAATTGATTTATACAGAAATTTCTCGAACTTACAAGTATAATTGATAAAGTTAAATTGATGAAAAGAGTGAGTCGTCGTCAACAGATTACGTAGTTATTTTTTAAAGAGGAGGAGGAGGCACACTTTTTCTATTAAATTTTAAATTACAGCCAGGAGATTGTGGAATTATTTTTAAAGAAGAGGAAGTACTCTTTCTCTGTCGAGCTTTCTATCAATTTAATTTAAATAATTTCAATTCTTATCATTAACTTGCTAGTAGAATACGATAAATTATGAAATATCCGCTTGAAAGAAAAATTGCACGCAACAAAACTGTCACGTCATACAAATTATAAACTAAAGATTTCAAAATATTCCAAATAGGAAGCAATAGACCTAATTAAAAGAATATATTTAATAAATATATTTAATAAATAGAATATATTTAAAAATATATTTAATAAATATATATATATTTAATTAAAAATATATATATAGTTCTATTGAGAGTATTAATTAACCTATCAAAACCAGAAATGAATAAAAATACAGAAACAGAAGAAAATACGAGGGTGAGGGGGCGTAAAATTCGAAGTAAGGAAAAGCAAATGCCACGCGCAGTTACGAAAGGCGAGGCGTATTATACAAGCCAATCAAAGTATTTCGTTTCATAGTGATGGTCAGGTCTGTTGCAAAAAAAGCGAACAATTCGATAACGACCAGCATAAACGTTATCTCTAACGTTAACGACAGATTACGAAACCGCAAAACGAAAGAGTTAAACCGTGTCGCTCGTATATTTTCCTCTTTTCTGACTTTGGTTGAGCCAAAGCTTCTACTTTCAGCTTCCAAATTCACCTTCCCCTCTTCGAAAATCATCTATTGATGAAATTAATCGAAAAATTTGAAGAGGCGAGGAATGTCCAAACAAGTATAATTACAAAACTTTGTTGAATTTAAATTAAATTTGAATTGAATTATATAAAAATTTATATAATCACGACGTTTAAAACATACAGGTCTAAAATATTGAGGCTCGGGTTTCTCAATGAAGCAAAATAAAATTCTGCCCTTCGTTTGCAAAAGCAAAAACGTTGCTTCATCTTCTCCCTTTGAATACGAAGGTCGAAGCTTTTACCTTGAAAATATGAATAATATTTTAACTGGTGACAATTGCTGATATCACTGATAAACACCGGAGTTGTTTGTCGGGATTTTTAAATTTTAATCGGCGCTTTTCCTTATTTTCGCTGAAGTTCATTGGAAATCGTGCGTAATAGTACCTGATTTACGTCACGAGAGAAGGGTGAATGACGCGATTCTGCAGTTTCTCAACCAGCAGGGAAAGTAGCTGCATTGTATACTTGATTTCCTGCTGATAACTCGAGATCTCTTGGAACTGAAATTGGAACTCTAGGAGAATTTTCAACAGAGTGATTTCGTGCTCGAGCGTGAAATCATTCTCTCTTTAATACTAGTCTGGTCTGATCTTCTCTGATACGTTCAGCTCTCAAATTTTACCGGAGTATTGTTCATCTTTAAACCTTCTGTCGCTGCTATTCAAAAATAATTTTTTAAGATTTTTCAGTATGTATTATTTAATCTCTTGATTTTTCTTCTTCTGTTTCTATCCTTAAATATCACTTGTTTCTTAACTTTCTTAAAAAAAAGAAAAATATACTCGAATGACATGAATCAACAACTGTTTTCCACCGAGATGAATTCAAAGAAAATAGCCAGTACTTGGAACATAAATTATTATTGTTAATATACTTACGTAGCATAACGTGTCATTTTTCCTAGAAAGTTCGAGTTTCCTTACCGTCAATTGAAATTCACTTGTAACTCATTCGTAGGAATATATTCTGTTCATTTGTTACTGTCTAACAGTAATTATGATATCTTGAGACTTGTCCCAATGAAATTACAATTTAAAGCTGAAACATTTTAAAAGTAACGTAACTTGCGATGTAAATTATTAGCAAATATGTATATTATTAGCAAATCAAGGACAGTGTGAGAAATTTTTCGCGAATTTTTGTCAAGGCAGCAAAAATACAGTCTCTTTAATTTTTATTTTAATTTATTTTATTATTTTATCTTAACTCGTTTGATTTTAACATTTCATACGATTATTATTAGTTCTGATTTATTTTTAATTTCAACAACTAAATTAAGTAAATTATTCAAGAAAGGGGAGGAGTTATCTTCGAAACCAGTTTAAACGAGATAAACAAAATAGGTGAAGTGTCTCAGAAGCGACGAGTAATTTGCAATCTCCTCAGACATAAGAAGACAGATAAGCAACAGCTAGAAGAATCGTGACCAATCTAAAATTCCTAAAGCTTCACTCAATTTTGTGAAAAAATAGAACTGATTATTCCTTTACGTCTAAACGTTTAAAACTGTGAGCAAGCTGAAACACCAAATTACCTGAAACTCCAATTTAGATAGAAACAAATTATGCCTACACGTACGTCAGATCAACTAACAACTGATAGAAAGTTAACTTGATAATCATTTATTCAAGATCAATTAGATCTTCATTTTTCATAATTAACGTGTCGTAAACATCTTCACACAGCTGATTCTCATAAAACGCTTAGATTCGTTAATTGAACTGCCAAATAAAACGATCATTGGACGCACGTGTCATAAAAATCTCAAGGTCCTTCGAATTGAACTCCACAATAGATCCGATCTTTTCATTCGTTTCGAACACTGACAGCGATGTGAACCCTTTTAAATAGGGATTCTTCCATAACTCGTGAGTGGACTTTGGAACATTTGGTTTTACAGAGTGGTACAGGGTTTAGGAAAGTTCCGTGGCTTCGATCATTGCAATTGAAATACAATGGCACTTGAATAAAATTCATAAAATGAAACAGCATTACGAGCTTAATTACATTAATTTGTGATTGTCGAATAATTCTTTGATGAGATTCACAATATTCACAATAACGGTGGTAATAATGGTAGGACGAGAATTTAGTGATATGACAAAAAAGAAAAAAAACGTAGACTTTGAAATAAAGATTTGAAGAGTAAGTAAAATATTAATCGGAAATTAAATTCCATTGCAAGTTAAATCTAACTGCCGAAAATATCAGAGCAAAAACGGAGACGATGAAATAAATGAATCGATCCAACGATTACGCTGCGTTTTCACAGAGAAATTTTACCTGGGCTTCTTTCATTATACGGTTTATATCTAGTCCCTCATCCTCTCGTCAATCTTCCATCCTCATTCCTTCTTCAATGAACCGGTTTGGAACTCGTCTTCGTGGCTTCTGGTAATTCTCTGGCTGACCAACGAGTCGCTCTTCGATCCGCTGGGAATCCCGGTCTTCCCTGCGCACCCATTGCTCTCAAGGTCATCAGCTTCACGGCAAATAAAGCCGAGATAGAAGTGATAGTTCTGGCAAAAGTTCAGCTCCTCGTGACCAACAGGGATTCACTCGAGACTTTTGCTGAATGCAGGAAAAAAGAAAGAAAGTGAAGTAAAGTTATATTTAAGAGTGTGGTATTTCTCACAAACACGTGGCGCGAGATTATTGCGAGATTATTTGTAATATCAATGTAAATTCCTTAATATTTAACTCTTGACAGTTTCGTGAACACAAATCGAGTTCTGACAACTTCGTAGAAAAAAAGAGATCATGTAGCATGTTTACTGAGTTTATTCGTTTCATTATAGAGTATAAAGTTTTTAATTATTGTTCAGTGTTCAGTTTCCTTGTCAAAAATGTTCTAACGCAATGTGACTGGTGAGAAAGGGAAGATACTTTTATTCTCGAGAATTGTGTAAGTGTGGCAAACTTTGTTGAAAGATTTTCTTCGTGATTAGATCCAACGTTAGATCTTGAAGATTGGCATCTCCCTCTCCGCAACGAATCCTTGGAATATTAATTCTTTTCAAATATTTAACATCCGACTGTTTCTTCGATCTCTGACACCTGTAGTTTCAAATATTCATTCGATTCTTCTCCATCTCGTCTCGTTAAAATGAAACAATCG